AGCAGGCCATGGTATAAAATAGGTATCGACTTATTCCATTTAAATAAGAAATCATTTCTTATTGTTGTCGATTATCATTGTGAATTCATTGAAGTTGAAAAATTAAATTCATTAACATCAAAGTACAGCCAGCACATCAAGCTACACATTGACGTACCTTGTTCCGTTGCAATGGAGGCGATTTTCGAACAAAAATGTGTAGTCTGATTTGATGTCAAGGCATTCCAGAAGTAATTATGTCTGACAAAGGTCCTGAATTTTCTTCTGACAAGTTTAAGGAATTCAGTAAAAACTGGAATTTCCAGCATATTACGTCATCCCCAAGATACCCTCAGTCAAACGGTCAGGTCTTAAGGGCTGTACAAACTATAAAATATATGATGAAGAAAACAGAATATGATCAGAAAGATTTTAACCTGGCATTACTAGAATATTTGAACACACCATTAGATAAAGACGTGGGGTGCTAGGACGACGTACCTCCACGTGAGCGTGTGGCTTCCATTCCTATGCAATTCCAGGATTGTATAGGAAGGGAAGACATGGGCCGGTGGATCCTGGGCAACTCCTAGTAAATGTCTGGACTTTGTCCGGGCATTTGCTAGGTGTTGATTAAAATGTCGTCACACTATTCAACGGAATACCGTTGAATAGTGTAGTGAACGGTACGCCTAATAAGGCGTACCGTGCCTATGGGGGGAGTCCAGCCGCTAACGGTGCACCCTCGATACTAGTGCACCTCCAGGGAACTTCATGCCTTTCAGCCGGCAAGCGGGGCTCTGCCGGTTGTGGCTCTTTAATTCCCTAGCTTCTCGTGAGACGTGTATGGTGAAAGACCATTAAATAAGCGTTAACACCTTAATTTTTCTCCTTGGAGGAAACGATTGCCGGGATGGGTAGTCAACCCAGCAATAAAGACGTGACTTCGGTTACGGCTATGGATACGAACCAGGCGGGTCCTTCGGATCCCCTGGTGTTGGAATCCAGCGCTCAGCCGCGCATTGGACTGAGCGGGTCTCGCCGGAAGAGACTACAGGGCCTGATGAGAACAGGTATGAGCTACGCAGAAGCTCTGCCTCTATCTGAAAAGCCCTAGAGAGAACTTCCGGTGCCTAAACCATCTCCAACACCGAAAGCACAAAAGCGTGGATGGTCAGAAGAGGCGTCGCCACAGGAACACGTAAGGAAGGCTCCCAGGACCATGGCGTCAGCTGAAAGCAGGAGCAGACCTACTTTCAGCGAAATGGCGGGCTCCCTGCGGGTGGGTATCTGGAATTCGGAACCCGTGTCGGAGGAGCAAATGGAGCTGGTAGAGTTGTTTCTGGTCCGCACCATAGCGAGCATAACAGCGCATGGCGAGGGACCAAAGTTCCTGGGCCTCTCTCACAAGGCAGACTGGATTCTTGTGACCAGCAAGGACCAAGCAAGTGCAGACTGGCTAATGAGAAAGATCGACAATTTGAAGCCGTGACCGGAAGCTCAGCTATCCTTGATTAAGGAAAGCGGGCTTCCGAAGTCCACCACCGCCACCACTTAACATTCCCAAGAAGGGATGCGAGTCGGTGCAGATGGCCATCAACCTGCTGGAGAATAGAGAATAGAGGTCTCCGCACGGAAGTATGGAAGATTCTTCACGCAAGGGAAGATGCGAACCGATGGGTAGTCGCGTTCGCTCTTGATGACCCATCTGTGGAGAATCTCCGTGCCTCAAATTGCCGGGTTGGTTTTAAACAGGTCACGTTTAACATCAAGGGGTGTCCGGAAAACACTTTCAGCGGCGGCACTGCGCGAGGTGCCTCGGTCTCGAAACCAGGGTAGGTTACTAATCCGCTCAGCGCAGATGCCCGCGCCTGGCCCGTCTTCCAAGGACCAGGGAAAACGTGACGGGGCTGCCCCGAATGCGACTCTCGGTGCATCGCCCCAGAAGAATCGCGGACGGCAGGCAGGGCACACTCGGACAGCACCCGCTGTCCCGAGCGGAGTCCAGCGCAGCCAACAACAAGTGCCAGTACTGGGGCGGCTCGCCCAAAAACTGCCACAATAATGGCACGAATGACGGTCTGGGGGGTACACGACAGTGGTTTTCAGCACCAAACCCACGTGGCCGGAGTACGGCACGTGAAGGAGTGCAAGGGCGCGGGGCTGCCAACCCGCGAGGCTCATGAGGACGGCCTCGTTCTCCTCGTAGCAGTCGGGGGGGCCAGGGTTTTAATCCCCGCTAGATGGCGCCCACGGGGGAAAGGGTGAGGGTTCTCCAAGCAAATCTCCACAACGCCGTGACTACCGCGGCTGTGGTGGAGTGTTGCTTCGCGAAAGGCAATATCGATGTCGCCCTCATTCAGGAACCCTGGGTTAACCAAACAAACGTTATGGGACTCAATGCCGTTGGTAAGTTGATATACAACACTTGTGGAAGTAGACCCAGAGCCTGCATTGTTTATAACAAAAACATTAGCCTTATGCCTGTTCCAGAGTTCTGTACTGACGACTTTGTAGCAGCATATTTATTTCCCCGGAATAGCCCTCGGGCTAAGATAATCTTATGTTCAGCCTATCTAACTAGAAAAAAGACCAGCCCCACGGAAGATCTGACACGACTGGCGGAATACGCTCAGAAACACAAAGCAGAACTTCTGGTGGGATGTGATGCCAACGCTCACCACTCCGCTTGGGGGAGCTCGGACATCAATAACAGAGGTGAGTAATATTGAAGGATGTACACCAACTTTTGTTACTAGGTGAAGACAAAAAATTCTCGACATTACTTTTTATACGGCTTGACTAGCCGGACTTATAACTGGCAGGCATGTTAGTGATGAGACGTCAATGTCGGATCATAAACCTATAAGATTTGATCTGGGAGCTGGAGATGTCTGTCATCCCACTACATTTAGGAATCCAAGGGATGTTGGGACGCAGAGACGTCTTTAGAGACAGACTAGGGCAGTATCTACAAGGGTATCCTAAATCGATCAAAACCACTGAGAGTCTAGAGTTAGCTGTTGAGGTCGCTACTAGGGGCATTATCAGCGCTTTTGAGGAAAGCTGCCCACCAACAATTCGGACCTCCAATAGGAAGGTTCCGTGGTGGAATCCCAAACTGAGAAAGCTAAGAAAGAAAACTCGAAGACTATTCAATAGGGTCAAGCTGACAAAGGAATGGGGGACTTACAGGAAGGCCCTAACCAATTATAATAAGGAGATAAGGAAGGCTAAGCGAGCATCGTGGAGAGGGTTTTGTGAGGAGATCACTAGTGCTCCTCAAGGTGCACGTCTACACAGAGAGCTTGCCAAAGCCAACTCCCATCAACCAGGACTGTTAAAAAAGCCTGATGGGACCTACTCGACTTCTACGACAGAAACCCTTGAGCTTCTAATGTCAACCCACTTTCCGGGGGCCTTGTGCGACTTGTTTACTAACCCAGTAATTACTGCACATACACCTCGCAATGAGGACTGGAACAGAGCCGCCAACATTATAAGACCTCATGGCTTCGACAAGTGGCTTGTGCTATCAGCTCGTTTAAATCGGGATTTGTAATCCCCAGGTGAGGACAGTATTACTCCCATCTTATTGCAGCAGGTACACTTATACGTAATTTTTCCATATCTGGTCAAAATATATAGAGCCAGTCTTGCTTGAGGACACATACTGATACAATGGACAACGTGCAAAGTTATATTTATACCAAAGGTAGGCAGAAAGGGCTACTCTCTTGCAAAGTCCTTTACACCCATCTGCCTAACCTCATTCTTGCTCAAATCAATGGAGAAGATACTTGACAATCACATTAGGGCTTCGTCCTTAATATATAGACCTATCCATCACACTCAACACTACAGAATAGAAATAAATTGAAATTGCATGCCAATATCCAATCAAAATATAGTATAAAATATATAAAAATTGTTAATGATCGATAGAAACAAATAAATAAAAGTTTACATATGGAATAATTTAAGAATTTTTAATTTACTTTCTATTGTTGGTTAAGAGGATAGGATATAATTTTAATGTCTCATGTGTTTTATTGCATGACCGTGAATGTAATGACAAGTAAGCAAAATGTAATTTTTTTTTTGTTTCAGGGGAATTGTAAGGATTGGTATAAATAATTGTTATAATATGAATGTGGGTATCAATGAAATATACAAAAGCAGTCTTGACCAAACACTGGAGTTTGATTGACATTCCCACATATCTAAACTAAACAGTGTTTTGAGCTGTACCTTAACCTTATTTCATTTGGGAAATATAAAATTGAACAATGGTTAATCAGACATGTATCCACAGTGAAGAAGGAACGAATGAAATGTATTTTGTCCTGAGAACACTTGTTGTAGACTTCTTAGTTTTGCACATAGATTTGCTACCAAATAAAAAAAAAAGCAACTAAAAAACTATTTTTGATAATATTTCTAGTGAGCCTAGAAAATTTCATTCCTTTTTTTGTTTTATTAACTCCACACTTGGAAAACTCCGACTTGAAGAAAATACTCAGACTTACAACTTAAAAATGACATTGTCACTGTACAACAAACATAATTAACTCTAGATCTGGTAATTTGCATTATATTATAATTCATACCGAAGATTTGGCTTTGCCTTAAAATTAAATCATTAAAGAAAATAAAATCTAAGATCTGGCAGTATGGCTTAGACGCATTAGCCTGTCCCGAAGGATGAAGAATTTTGCTACTATGATTTCTGATGAGAAAGCTTGCAAAGCTTGTGCCTATACCCTTTATTATTTAACAATCACATTATCATAAATATGCACGACTTTATAAGATGGCAAACAATTTACAATTAAAATAGGTATCAATAAAAAGTAAAAGAGACAAATTGGCAGATTCCCACATGTGACAGATATTGTTTATTAACATTAAGCTAACAGAGGTCGTCAGCAGGTGACCCTGGTTGACCAATCTCTTTCCAAAACAATTGCACTCGCAGTTCAACAGCACATGAATGGAGAGCCGTAGACGCAAATACTTACGGCAGTGAGCGCCAGCGCCAGAGCCAGGGCCGCGGCGCGCGCACACCCAGCTTGTGCAATCGACCTCTTCCACATCATTGAAGGCGACTCTTTGATTTCACACAACACTTTCTCCTCTTCGTAGCCTACGGTTCCACATGATATAAGCATAATTCACTTGCTTGCCATTGCCTCTCCACATATCATCACATCTTAAGCCAATATTTACACCTTAACACTAAACAATCACGTTAAAATATACTTTGTAGTTCGCTTGCGCTTGCGCCACTATGTTTCGTTCGCCGTTCGAAAGACAACCTCGTACTCTTTGACAACCTCTCTAGAAATTCAACATTGGACATCATGGGAGGGAGGCGAGAAGAATGAGCGGGGTGGGAGGTTTTTTTTACAGTAAGTGTGACCAATATTTTTATATTATTTAAAATAGCAATATGTATGTTATACATATGTTGCAATATAAGCAATAATGTGCCCTTTTTTCTTTTGGTTTTAAGGTCTTAAACGTATAAATAAGTTCGAGCAATGTCAATAATTATAAAATGACAGAAATATTTAAGTTAAATGCAACAAAAAAAAAAACAACGATATTTTAGGTCACACGAATGAAATTGCAGTAACACGAATGATTTCCTCATAAACATAAATGAGAAAGACGGCACAGTAATGACAAATTATTATTACAACACACATTTTATCGTTCATAAAAGAACATTTCAAATGTAACAAATATTTTAATATAACTTCTTGTATCAAAATCCTTCTCATCCGCGTAAGGTCATCTATCTATCTATATGTAATTAGTAAATAAATCTAAATAAGTATTTTGTTAAAGTCATATAAATTTAGTTGTACAATAAAGTTTATAAAACTATTGCTTAATACTTATTTAAATAGATTGTTTTATATGAATGAGAACGATTTAGTCACTAGTGCTGAAATTGGTATTCAAGTCGATTTTTTGCTAAAACGGAGCACAGGTTACTTTACTGTGTACACTCCAATCCGACAGGAGACCCTTCTCACATGTGCGAAAGGTGCAGGTGATGCGGTATGAACTTTTGTTATTAGGAGGCTCTTAGTTGAATTGACACTAATGATAAGAAAAATTCAAACACATTTTGTATTCCCAAGAAAACATGTTTGTTTATAATAAATTGGAAAGTTACGATATGTATTCGACGTGTAAGTTATTAGAGTTTATCCTCGATGGGAAATATTGCGATTTCCACGAGTGCTTAACTTTTTCTTCTTTTAAAAAAAAAATTAAGGCTTAAAATTAGGGCGACACGTGTAACCGTCTCCCATGAATGAGAAATTGCCCAATTTTTTTAATTTTTATTTACTACTGTGACGTAGTAAAGTAGTCTTCTTATGTGTAACACAGACTAAGTAAGCAAGAAATCATATTAAATAAATAATGCATAACATTCATGTAATAACATAAAAGTTATTGAAAGGGACACATTTTTGGATGTTATCTAAAAACGACCCCAAACTGCTTCTTCTTTTCCTTATTTCTCTTGGCTTTTCGCGGTTAGCGTTTCAGCCACTTACAGTGTATTGACTAAGTTGTTTTTAAAACAGGGAAATTAGGGTCGTATTCCAGAACTGTACTCAATGCTCAAGCCAGGACTTGAGTATGTTTTCAAGCACCATACCAATCAAATCATACTTAAAATCCAGACTTGAGTATTGAGTAGAGTTCTGGAATACGACCCATAATACTAATATTCTGGATTTTCTTGCAGGCCAATTTAAAATAGAGGTTCAGAAAGGGATTGTTTTGTTTAAGTTATGATACGTTCTAGACGATTCGATTCACCTTAATATTGGATCGATTTACTTAAATATCGCATTGAAATGAATGGATCGGATGCGATGGATGGACACAAAAAATAGCTAGGTCGTAAACACGTTCTTAAATCGATCTTCATAAAAATCGAATCCGTAATGTGCATCCCTACTACAGGAAAATGATAGGAAAAATCAGTATTTATTTGTAGTTTATTGAATCTCAGGATGTTTCTCTACCATATTATTAAATTATTTTTTGTGACTGCACAAGTTTGTTATAATTAGTATTATACGCTTAATTTTCCTGAAAAATAGTGTTTTTTTTTACATTTCTCTTGGCTTTTCGCGGTTACCGTTTTGGCCATTACCATTCAAGTAATACCTTGTTTGTAGCAATGATGCTTTCCATTCTCAAATATAGAGTGTATGATCTATGCTTTCCATCCTCAAGCAATGATGATACTTTTTTTTCTTATTTCTCATGGCTTTTCACGGTAAGCGTTTTAGCGTTTTAGCCATAAGTATTTTGTGAAGTTTGTAAGGTGGTCCGAAACAAATTTTCACATGCAGAAAATGTCGTGTATTTCATAAAGTTTGTAGGGTGGTCCGAAACATATTTTGTCACATGCAGAAAATGTCATATCTTTAGTTCTCCATTCTTAATTACCACTTAATTAGTTATCAAAGAAACCGATATGTAAACAAATTAAACTTAAACTTGTGCATATCATTTAAAATAGTACAATTTAGAAATTAGGTATAGTCGAGACTTTAGTTCGGACCAAAGTTTTTTTTTTATTTTGAAGCTTGGCTTTGGCCTAACACTGACGTTAAAGTCGTAGAAATCTGCTACCGCTGGAACATATCATAACCAAAACATTTGGCGGTTAATTGCCGATTATTTTACAATTTTGCAAAGTACTGTTATAGAAACCATGGTAGACGGCTGTGGCCCTGAAAGTGAGACGTGGTCTCCAGAAAACACGCTCAGAGTTTTGATCGCATCCGACATCCACTTGGGGCATCAAGAAACAGACGCCGTTCGTGGAGAAGATAGCTTTGTGGCGTTTGAAGAGGTTCTTTCTTTAGCAGTTGAATATGACGTAGACCTGATTCTCCTGGGTGGTGATTTATTCGATCATGCAAAACCCTCGCCTGCGTGTTTGTTCAAGGCGACTCAGCTCATTCGCAAGTACTGTTTTGGAGACAAACCTGTCGCTGTCGAATTGCTATCGGATCAAATGGAGAACTTCTCACGCAGTGTTAATTATGAGGATCCAAATCTCAATGTATCTTACCCTATTCTGTCGATCCACGGTAATCACGACGACCCAGTAGGGCAGAGCAGTGTGAGCTCATTGGATATTCTCTCCATCACAGGACTCGTAAACTATTTCGGCAAGTGGAATGATTACACGCAGGTTCGCATATCCCCAGTGCTTATGCAGAAGGGTGCATCTCGCCTCGCCCTATATGGCCTGAGCCATCTTAAGGACCAACGTTTAGCTCGATTGTTCATTGAGAAGAAAGTTGAAATGGAGCTTCCAGAAGATGGTCAGGATTGGTTCAATCTTTTGGTGCTACATCAAAACAGAGCTGATAGAGGCCCCAATAATTACATTCAAGAGAAAGTGTTGCCCAAATTCTTGGACCTTGTGGTTTGGGGTCATGAACATGATAGTTTAGTATTCCCTATAAGAGGCAAGACACAAAGTGGGGAATTTTCAGTAATTCAGCCAGGAAGTACAGTTGCAACATCACTAGCTGCTGGTGAATGTTTGCCTAAGCACTGTGCCTTGTTGCAGATACATCATAAAGAATTTGTGGTTACTCCAATACCTCTTAAAAGTGTACGTCCTTTCATATTTAAAACTATTGTTTTATCTGAGGAAAATTTAGGTGAGGAAGGAATAAATGAAAATGAAAAGGTACAAGATTTTTTGAGGGCCAAAATAAATGATGCTATAGATGAGGCCAACAGGAATCGTAGTGGACATCCAAAACAACCAGCTTTGCCTCTGGTCAGGCTCAATGTCTTGTATGAAAGAGAAGGGCAAAATTTTAATCATATGAGATTTGGTCAGAATTTTAATGGACTTGTGGCAAATCCGACTGATATAATTAATATGAAAAAAGAAAAGAAAGTGCGTGAACGTAAGTTGCTGGAAGAAGAAGATGGAGACCTGAATATTGAGGGTGCAGCTCACGCAGCTGATGTAGAAGAGCTTTTGCGTGCTTATTACGCTGCTCTGCCACTGGAGAAACGATTGCAAGTGCTGTCAGTGAGAGCTATGACTGATGCTGTACGCGACTTCACTCTTAAACATGATGATGAAGTGTTTAAACGGGTGTTTGAGGCCCACAAACGCCGCTGCGTTGAGATGTTGCTGCAAACAAATGCAGAAACAGAGGAAGAGGTAGCAGAACAATTGAGAATTGGTAAACAAGAACTGGATATGGCTGATGAAGAACAGCTGAAAAAGTTAATTGATGCTGCTGCTAGCAAGCCTCCTACACCTGGAGCACTCAAAAGAGCTATAGTTGTGCTGTCTAGTGATGATGATATGGAACCTGAAACAACAGTGACGCGAGGAAGACTCGCTAAAGGTGGGCGTGGTGGTGGGACGAACAAAGGTCGTGGACGCGGCCGTGGAAGAGGTCGTGTGGAGCGCAACTCGTCGCCGCCTGCGCCTGCGCCAGCTCCGGAGCGTCGGACGCCTCGCCGCACAGCAGCACAGAAACCTCGTCCATCCTGGTTGCAGAACTATGTGGAACGGAGTTCCCGAAACCGTCGTAGTTCTCTTGATATTGAAGACTCAGATTAAACTATTTTCGCCTCTTAATTGTTGTCTTCATATATTATGTGCATTTCAGGTTAAGATTTTAATAATACAGTAGAACAGACTGTCAAATTATTATTTTATTGATAAAGTAAGCTGTACTTTGATAATGCAAATATTAAATTGGAAGATAAAACACGTGTTTTAGTTTTGCTTTACAATTTACATAAGTATTTTGACAGGAGATAACTATCATTTCTTCATTGTTTCCGTCTTTGTACATACAATACAACAATGGAGGCGTCATGGATTGGCAGTCTCCTCTGTCAAGGTCTTACAGCATCTAATACACGAGACACTTTAATAAGCACTATTTCAGTCATTTTCAACAAATACGACTTTTTACCCAATTTTGGTGGTGATTTTTAACCGACTTCAAAAAAGGAGGAAGTTCTCAATTCGTCTGTATGTTCTTTTTTTTTGTATATATGTTACGTGATAACTCTGGTATTTGTGAACCGATTTTCATGATTCTTTTTTGTTGGAAAGGGGGTACTTCCATAGTGGTCCCATTTCATTTTGAAGAAAAGCATCCACTTCGAAGGGTGGCTGTTCACGCATGAAGATTCATTTTTATAAATAGCGCCTAACTTTAATTTAGGGGCAATTATTTTAATGGTTAATTTTGCTACTTCTCCAATTCAAGGCGTTTTTCTCTCAATATACTTTGAACCGATTTTTATTATCTCCAGTGTCAAGTCCTGTATAGTGACGAACTAGGGGATATTTCAATAAAACTTAGCAAATAGACGTAATTCCACTTACTTTTGAGGTCGGTTTTTTTAGTACTCTGTACTGAGATTAACTTTCGAGTTTCAGAAAATTTTTTTTTTTAAACGTTTAAATGTCATGCCTTTTTAAAAACACGTGCTTTTTTAAACGCTTTTTAGGGTCGTATTCCAGAACTGTACTCAATGCTCAAGTCAGGACTTGAGTATGATTTCAAGCACCGGAAATACGACCCTAATGGCAAGGACTTGAGTATTATTTCTAGAAGACCCTTTTTGAAACTACCAAAATCGTTTAGGAAACGTTTAAGCGCATAGACTTTTATGTTAAAAAAAGCTTGCAACGTTGTGTTGATAGCGAAACGCAAGAGTAGACGACTAAAGGTTTTAAGATAAGTAAGTTTTTTTTGTAAAAAAACGAGTTAATATTTAAGACAATATTATTATATTAACATTTTGTTCATTGGCGTGTAAAAGCGTTCAAAAACATAAGTTGTTTAACTTTTATAGTTGTTAGCCGTTGAAATGGAAAAAAACTGCTTATTTTTAAGTTAAAACATACGTTTAAAAAGCGTGCTTGTAAAAGCGCTTTTCACTTAAAAAAACGCGTTTTAGTTTGATTTTTTTATTAATAATTTTGGCTTGGATACAAGTCTTTTGAGCCATGTCTTCGTTTAATTATATTTCTGTATAAATATGGCCGCCACAAAGAAAATAGGGACTCGGGATTCTTTAGAAAGGGCCGATACGGGTATTTTACTTCGAGATTCGTATAATTTCGTGTTCTAATCTTCGATTAAGGCACAATAGCACTATCCTATTCCACTTTAAACTAGATTTTACAAAATAATTGAAGTCAAAGTAAAAACGACACTTTTCCCTTCAAAAGGCTCAGAGCGAATCCTTTTTAGTTTGATGCTCAAAAAGGTGTTTAGAAAAACATTTAAGCGCATAAACTTTATGCTTAAAAAAGCTTGCAACGTTATGTTGAATTAATTTGTTTAGGAAGCACAGATGGCGCTACTTGAAACTGAGGCGTGTAGTAAACCAGTGACCAACGCTTACGGTTAAAATGAAAAGCGTGCTTATGCGCTTATTTTAAAAAGCAGACTTTTTTAAGTGCTTTTCGTTTAAACGCCCACCTCTAGTCATAATAGAGAATACTTTGTATGTTTACAAAAACACTGACAAATTAAAGCTATAGCTGTTAAAACCGAACGCTCTACAGTGGTGACACCTGGAGGGAGCAATAGGCAGTTACTTACCCCATTATGTCAATTTATTTACTTTCGATTCTACTTAGGTTTCGCTTTTATAAATTATTGATTTAAACCACAATTTTATTTATTGCTGTTTTTCATTTGGTGTTTAGGCTACCACAGCTAAAATTCGGCTACTTTAGACTACTAAGTTTGTGAAAAATGGCTACCATGGACCCAGCGTTGTTGGCAACACTGCTTAACATTTCGTTTTTCATTTCGATTAATGCAGTCAGCAGTTCAGAGATAAAGGTTGTATTCCTCCGGCGAGGCGAGACGAAGATTGAAATTTTTATGACAAAATTTCAATACTATCCTAGCCCATCTTCGGTGGAAATGATGTGTATTGACGAGGGTGGGCGAGAATTGAAATTCTTGTTGATGTAATATTGAACCGTATTGCTGCTCAAATAGAGCTATTAAACACAATAATTTCTCGCGTAATCTTGTGAGTGCTCGAGTATCGCTATGGCAGTTAATATTAATCGCGAGATTCAATTCAATTCAATTCATTTATTCATTCGTTTGAGATTGTTATTATGTTGAGAATACGTACCATTTGAGATTTGAAAAAAGATGGTTTCATATGATTTTCCTTCCGTTAACATATTTAATAGTAGTAATAACGGACACACTCAACATAGCCCCGGACTAGGGAAACCCTGTCTCGCGGGTGCCATGTACACACACATAGACAACCACAAGTTACACTCAAACTCACGAGAGAAATAAATGTAGGCCATACAAATATTTCTCCCGGCCCAGGAATCGAACTTGAGACGTCTGTGCGGCAGTCCGGCATGGTAATCGTTCGGCCATGGAGGCAGTTAAATTAATAATTTACGGGTGTTGGTAATTCAATAAAAGTAGGTTGGTTTCTAAATAAACAATCTTGTCGAAAAATAATATCAACCATCTGTCATTCTTTATACTTTCAACTATGTTCGTCTATTTAAAATTATATTGAAACTATCTAAGTAAAACTCCAGTTTCAATACAGTAGTCTTATATCTTCCACAAATTACCCTTTTACGGAACATGTTACTTCAGCCGCGTATTTATCGCTAGAATACTCTCAATAGATTCAAATAACTTCGTCTCCGTCTTCCTGCCCTCTTTTTGAAAACTGTTGTGACGTATTAGATACATCAACATCTTTCCCCTTCGGTTCTCTATTAAGCTTTTCTTTTCATTCATTATTATTAGTAGCACTTCATTGAATTTTCTTTGTCCTATTCCTAATTTTCTCGTAAAGCCGGGTTTTCACTACATGAGTACTCTCGGACGCTAGGTACTCGTAACGTGTAAACACGTGGACTCGGAGCTTTATTTTTAAGAGTATAGTCTGACCATTACGTGAAAATATAATCTCAGTACAGAGTACTAAAAAAACCGACATCAAAAGCACGTGGAATTACGTCTATTTGCTAAGTTTCATTGAAATATCCTCTAGTTCGCCACTATACAGGACTTGATACTGGAAATAATAAAAATAGGTTCTCACTAAGACACTACTCAAAGTATTTGGAGAGAAAAACGCCTTGAATTGGAGAAATAGCAAAATCAACTAAATAATTGCTAAAAGTTATTGCTCCTAAATTAAAGTTAGGCGCTATTTATAAAAATGAATCTTCATGCGTGAACAGCCACCCTTTGAGGTGGACGATTTTCTTCAAAATGAAATGGGACCACTATGGAAATACCCCCTTTTCAACAAAAAAAAGAGTCATGAAAATCAGTTCACAAATACCGGAGTTGTCGCGTAACATACATACAAAAAAAAGAAAAAAAAAGAAAAAAAAGAAAGAACAGTCGAATTGAGAACCTCCTCCTTTTTGGAAGTCGGTTAAAAATGGCGCCAACTAAGAATAGGTGGAATGAACGTGACGTGAAGCTATGAGGTTTTAAACGTTTTTATCTTCCTCGTCCACTTCACGAATAAAATTATTCGAAGCACTCATTTGTTCACGTATTAAAATCCATTTTTTGGTGCAAATTTTTCTCTTACTTTGGTTTTTTATGAGTTTTCATGAGTGAGACCTTTCATGAGTTTGTGCGTACTTCAGCCATTAACATATCTGCTACAACTTATATACTTCGCAGCGCAGACTCATTTGCTAGTCGTCATCATCTTGATTCCTATCTAAAGTACTAAAATGGTTTGCAGATAACCTACTCCTTAATAAGAAAAAAAACAAACTGTATAATATTTACATTACCCAATGTTAGACAGACAGACACAAACATAGTAACGAAAAATTGAAGCTTGTAGATACCTACAGTTGTAATTCTAGGTCTAACTTTAGATGCTAAATTGCAATGGGGTGCACATACAAATTAGTTATCAAAACGATTCAGCTCTGCAGTGTAACGCGATTAAAAAAATAGGTAAACTTTCAGACGTCGAAAGAGCTAGACTGGTTTAGGTACTTTAGCTACTATCAGTTTAATGACTTACGGCATTTTGCTTTGGGGTAATGCTGCTGATATTAATAGAATCTTTGTCCTGCAGAAACGTGCGGTTAGGGCAATTTACAATCTGCAGCGCAATGTCTTAGAGATAAATTTAAAGAGATTAACATTCTTACACTAATTTCACAGCATATTTATGAAAATGTTATTTATATTACGCAATATATTTTTGTTATGAAAAATTGTGACGGACGTAACATAAATACGAGGAATAAAATTAAAATAACTGTTCTTGATAGTCGTCTTCATAAAGTTTGAAATTAATTTAAGGGGCAATGTTATACGCTTCTATGCATAATAAGATTCCAATTCATATTTAAAATTTGCCATCTACTAGGCTTAAAACTATAGTGAACCAAAAACTTATTTATTTATTTATTTTGGCACAGTTATAAAATACAAATTATATAATACAAGTAAAACTTATGACACTAACCAGAAACAAACAAATTTGTAGCGTAATAACAACCGCGCACATCATGCAAATAACATTATGTAACTTAATGAATATGGCTAACTAAGTCAATAGAAAATGCGTATATATTTTTTTTTAAATTTACTTCACTGTGTGATGTATTCATGTTCCTCCTTACAATCAGGGCTTTTTATAATTTTTACAAATGGGTTGGCACTCTGGTGGAATATATCAAGACATTTACATAAAGCATTACCTATACTGCC